AATTAATACCTGCCTTCCCACCAGACAGCCACCTTTTGATATCATCTGGAAGAGCAGCTCCCCCTATTTTGCATCCTGAGGAGCTGCACTAGCCTGATCCTAATCTCCCTTTGCTGAATAGGAGACTTTCAAATCTGCCAGCTGGGATTTAGATACCTGAATTGATAGCTGTCAACTATATATACTTGTCTTATGTGAAGGGCAGTCTGCTTTAAAGTTTCTGTATGTCTCATTGCAGGAAATGCAAATCCTGCTGTAATGTTAGCAAGAACAAATGAAGAAGGAGGAAAGTGCTTCTGGCATCATGTTTTCCAGCAGGCACAAGTTAAAGGCAAGTATTTTGCTATCTTCCATGCTTGTAACTTCCATGCTTGTAACAGATGGAGTATTCATTAGGGAAGTGTGGCCTCTTGGAATCTTGCAGAGGGCTTTTGCCTTTTCCTTTATAATACTTTTCAATTTAGAGTTGGTTAAATGTGACCGTTATTTACTTTTGTGCAGACTTTGCTTTTCTTTTTCTTCTGTATATTCATGAATTTCTCTTCTCTTGCCACCTTGATGTTATACATTGTTCTTTATAACAATGGAGACCTTTCAAATACTGTCTAATTTTTTTGTCCTCTTGAGGAAAAAATATCCTATGAAGTCTTCAGTAAAAACAGAGTAGATACATAAAGTCTCTCTGATTTTCATGCATTTTAATCATTCCAAATGTCTCAAGCATTTTATTTGAAAAAAAAAAAACTTTGTGGGATTTTTTGGTAAGGCTAGGACAGTAATATTGTCACAGGAGGAAGTGAGGGTCTGATACATTCAATAGTGCTAAATGTCAGGCAGTTATGTTGTTTTTTATATTTTACTGTAACCTGTATAGTGTTCCCAGCATGCAAAGAAATCACAACCTTTCCCATTAAATGCCATTAAATACCATTATATTTAAAATAAATGTCATTGATTGTAAATGAACATTAGAGAATCTCTTTGATGGGATATAATTTACACTGTTTTGAGTTGGAATCTGAAACTAGCACAAATCGTGAACTAATTACGCATCAGGCAGATTTATGGCATGGATTTTTCTTCATTACCAATCATTTTGAAAATTATTTTAAAAGTATTTGTCACATTAGGGGCCTGATCCTGCAGAGGCTTGCATGCAGAAATAGTAGCTCATACAACTAGATCTAAAATCAGATAGTTGGTACAAATGGAAAGCTGACCATGACTTCTTTACCAAGCTGAGTGCTCCAGTCTCAGGCAACCTACTTGAAATAGGCTGTAACTTCTCCATTTTATGTTTGTTCTGATTATGAACAGGTAATGAAATAGTCTTTGGCAAAGCCTAGCACCTAAGCCATAGAACCTGAAATCATAACTGCTTCTTGACTGTTTAATTGTTCACCCCTCAGTAGGCCAGAACCATTTAAGCATCTGGTTAAAACATTATTTCCTTTAAAATGTACTTAAGCATGTGTGTAACCACTTGCCGAGTAGAGAGGTAGATGGACTGTTACATCTAGGTCTCTCTGACCTTGGTACTGTGTCACAGAAGTGTCATAAAATTGGCAGGCAGTTAAAGTGAAACAGTTCAAGCAATACAAAAGAAGACTCTAAAACCTTATCTTGCTGTATTGGTCCTGCTTTCCAGTCTTGCTGCATTGTGGATAAGCAATGGTATCATTAGCTAGGGTACTGAGTCAGCCAAGTATAGTATTTCCAACAAGGGGTTAGGAATAAAGGAGAACATTAAAATTTAAGAATCAAGTATTAGAGTATTACAGTTTGATTCAGTCATGCTTGGCTTATTTTATGCACCAAGAAAATGATTGCAAGTGAGATATCAAGACAATTTTCTTTATCACATTTAATTATTGCTTGATTAATATTTGATGCAGGGTTTGCAGAAAGAGATTTCTTTTTTTTTTTTTTTTTTAAGGCAGAAGAACCTACTTTTGGATAATATAGGTGTTCTATCTCTTACCAATCAATAAAATATAATCCTTCTCGTTAGTGGGTGATTCTGCACTTTATTGTATCAGTGACAGTCTTTATCCTATACATCTACTATCTACATTGACCAGAGCAGAAATTACTGCTTGTACCCTGCAATTTATAATCCACTCTACCCAGCTTCTCATCAATTATATTTGCTGCAAAATGTAGTGCCACTGATAGGTATTTTATCTTAGTGCTGCATTCCCACTGCCTGCGGACTGTTGCTTTGAAGAGTCTTAAAAGCATTGCTATTTAATACTACTAGCCAGTGCATCTGCTCTAAAATTTGTTCCAAGTTACTCGGATTCTGTTTTTAACAATACACTTTCATACATAGATAGTAAACACATTTTGTTCTGTACCAATTTATTCTAAAGTGAACCGTTCCTGAATTCTTAGTGAGACTATGTTAAAATGTAGAATTCTGTGAAAAAATTGCTCACAATGTGAAAAGATAGTATTTTTCCTTTAAATTACTGTAATAGAGTTTTATTTAATTAAAATGTAAGCTAAATGCTGTGTGCTTTAAAGAGGACATTGTGACCATTTTTCTATTAGTGTGTTTCTGGCAGAAAGGTTTCTTTCTAAATCCTTACTCGGTGAGAAGTTCTCACAGACTAAATGAAAGTACACCAATGGATGATCACGACCCATGTAATAATCATCTCATAACCCCATTTTCACAGGCAAAGCTCCCCTAAAAGGTGCAATGAATTATTCATGTATGTGGTGATCTATAAATGTGTTAAAGCCAATGTAAAAGTACACTTGTATGTCTTAAATAAGTTTCCTTAAAATAAAAATTTAAACATGGACAGTAAGTGAACTCATTCAAATTTACACACTCTTGAGGTTTGTGTGTGTTCTGGAAGATTTTATATTTGGCTGTTAAGTATTGGTTAAAGTGCAGTGTATATATGATGCCATCTGGTCTGGTTCTGTGTTCCTCTCATAATGGCTGTATTGTGGACTGTATGGCTGTGTGGGTCGTGAGGTTCTACAGACTGATAAATCCCACGTTCTTGTATCTATACACCTTTTGGTAAGTGAAACCTTTGGCACCTTTTGCATCTCAAGATCTTGATTATGTGGTTTTGAGGGTTTGGTTTGGTTTTTTTCCATATGCTTGCCAGAGCTTTTTGTATTCTGGCAGCTGTCTTCTGTTTGTATATTGTTGGTTATGCTTCGGATAGGAAGATGAATTTATTCAGGGTTGCAGATTACATTTGGCATATGGCAGAAACATCACAGATTGTTACCACATTTAGGTCTGCTAAAGCATCTAGAAATCATTTTGGGTATTGACCAAGACAGGTGAAGTGGTGTCAGGAAGATAACTTTTTCTATCTAAGGATGTATCTGCTATTATAATTTCTTAACCAATCTGTTTTCTGACTTACATGACTTTGGTAATGGCATAAACGAAAATGAAAGAAATCTTTAGAAGAGATGAGTTTTGAACACTGGGTAGCTATTCTCTTGATTATGTAGGTCAGTCCTTTTTGTAGATGCAGCATGAGATGTAGCTCCATTTATCCCTACACAGCGCATGATATTTTATGTATTTTATCTTTCAGGTATCATTATCTTACCAGATATGAACTGTAATGTATTGCTGGCTTTGACTAGGTTTTCTTGAAGTATAGTAACCAAATCTGGGATCAGCAAAAACTTGGATGGATTTCAAATATCGGTATCATTAAAAGAAGTTAGGTAAGAATAATGCATAATGGGAGAGGGGTAGGGACAGGAATGGTAAGACCAATAATTTAAGTGTGGAAGAGACTGCTCAAAGAGCATGCAGTTTGAAATCTAGAACCATGAGCCAAAGTGTGAAGAAGAAATCTGTATATTTTTTAAGCAGAAATTAATAACGTGGTGGTGTAATAGCAAAGAAATAATCTTTATGTTAAAACCTGATACGAAAACATAGCAAACTGCAGGTCTCTATCGGTGTAAATAGCACTGAGATTGTACTATTCCTGCAGTCTGTCAGCTTTTGTGACTTTGTTAATTACCAGTCAAAGAGGTGCAGGGAATGCCTGAGTGAACATACAACAAATAACAATTGTACTGAGTATCAAGTTCTGTCTTGGTAGGAACCATGTTTATTTTTTGTCTAGGGAAACATCTGTGCAACCCTCTCTATACTTTCCTGTTCTATCCAGCAGTAGCTGTTGTACTAGCAGCAGCAAGAGCAGAAGTAAGCAGGACATGAAAACTCCAGCTTTAGATTTAGTCTTTTTTTATGACAACTTTGGGGTGTTGTATTGCTTTCTGTGAATCAAGTGAATTACTTTTATGTGTGGTCATTTTTGGGAAGATGAATCCTGAGTAAATGTGTGTGCAAATAATTTCAAGCAGCAGAAAATTTTCACCATGAAAAAGTTGAACCACAGTAGTGATTATTAGGGTCATACACACATCAGTTCTATGTTAATACTCTGTCCTGCTCCTTTCTTTGTGAGCAACCAGTAGGTGGTAAGTAATCTCTTTTTAAGCTATCTTCCCCTCAATATGTCAGAGGAATTATTTGAAATAATTATGAAAGAGACATAGAATATAAATGTCAGACTAGATGTAGATGGGAAAATATTACTACAGAGGAATTTTGCAATATGTTGGAAATGTCATTTACGGTTCTGTTTTAATGAATGGCTAATTAGTTGGCTGAACATCGGCTCACTTCTTAATGGAATCTTAGTGGATTAACTACATGCCTCATTCATATTATCCTACAGAAAATTTCTGTCTTCTTATAATGAATAATCTTTTTGCAGGATGCCAGTATGAAAAAGGACAGGCTCTTCTAATGTAGAGATTTTGTGCTTTTGTTCACTCTTAAATGAGCATGGATTCTGATTTAAAATACTTAAATACCTATTTTGGTGCTCTTCATATACTTCTTTCTGCAGAAACAAGCCATGTTGCTTTGGATACTAATCCTAACACCTGCATTTTCTGCATTGTTCATATTTTGTGTTTTTTTGTTTGGTCATTTTTTTTTTAATAATTATATATTTTGACATTTATTTCATTGGTTTGCATGGTCTTATTAGTTTGTCTCTTGACATCACTTAGGAGATTCCACTTGCAGAGGTCCTAGTTCCTTTGTTGAAATGGCCACTCCTGTGACACATAGCTGTGTTTGCCAGATGTCTCACCCAGGATCCAGGGCTCCATTATTTACTAATGTGGTAGGTGAAGGCAAGAACATGCCATTCTGCTTAGCCACTTGTATTGTATCCAGAAAACTGTGATTTTTCTAATGCTCACACATACTGTTCGGACAAAACTGTTGGCTTATGGCAGTCAAACCTTTTAGTCTTGTTTCATATCCCTGCTATCAACTGACAAATTGCATTCCTGAACTTTCATGTTCATCTGGTATATGGCTTATATGGCTTATGGCTGGTATATATGCAGATACATACTTTACAGTTGTCCATGTTCAGATAGAAAAGAGTAGGAGTGTTACATAAAATTAAGTACTTCTTGCCTTAAAAATCTCCCAACATAAATGCCTAAGATTGTCTCTAGATTTAAATGTTGATTTCAAAGTCTTTGTATTTTAAATCCTATAAAACTTTAAAAATCTTAGGATACCGATTTTTGACTCCCCCTAAAAATGAACATTGAAGACCCAGGTCACCTCTTTGCTTTTCCTTATATATGAACATGTTCCTGTGGGAAATTTGTTTATTTCCATAAAAGCTCTTAACATGCAAACTATAGTACTTTTTGCCTTTCTTAGTGTATATTGCATCTTTGTTACAGATAATATTTTACACTTACTGTTATGTGTTTTCCAAAACCTGTTTCTAATTGGGCAGATGGCTGTCAAGGCATATTTAAAAAAAAAAAAAATAATAAAATCTGTTTAACATTTAGCTCTGCTGTTTGCCCTAAAGCTGTAATTACTTAGGTATTTTTTTCATGTCACCAGCTTATAAACTCCTGCCATTAGGTTATAGCTTACAGAAAACCCTCTTGTCTGAGGCACTATGCTTCTTGCTTATGTTACATTCACATTTGTGTGTTGCTAGGATGAACAGGTACATTTCTAAAACAGAAGAATGTATGATATACGGTATGAATAAAGACAACTTACCATTGTTATGTCTTTTCATTGAACCAGGAATTAACCTACTTCCTGAAGTCTTTCTTGACATATCAGAATCTAGTTATTAAAAGAGAGAAGAATAAATACCTCAATTTTTCGTGTGGCTATTTCAGAGAATTCTGGTACAGTTGTGAGTAAAAAAAGTAAGTATCAATATTATGTGTCTGTGTTAATATGAATAAACCTATGTCTGTTAGTTTTACTTGAAAAAAAAACAAACAAGACCAAAATTAAACCCAAATCTTCTAATTTTCAAAATCAGCACTGGACAAATCATCTGCTTGCTACATTATACCCTTTAGTAGCATTATGTGCTTAGAAAAAACAAAGTTTCAGCTAAAATAACTTGGATTTATAACGGGTTTTCATTTTATTTTGTTTACAATGTAGCAAAGCGTTACTTGCAGTGAAATTTGGTATCTCAGCTGAGCTATTATATTCAATTGTAATTAGAATAAGCTGTCAGCACGAATTACTGTACATTGGTTTTAGAGACCTGTTTGGGTACAGCCATTTCTTACCAAAGCAGAAACAGCAATTCACTATCTAACTTTGTACATTCACAAAATACACTTAGTGTAAAATTAATTAGGTCATTAGAAACCTATTATCTTGCCTCAAAGGAACTGATTTTAGAAGTAAGCGTGTTTTTTGTAAAAGATGGCATCTCTGCATTCAAACCTAGTTGTGTGATTCATTCTTGAGGTTTTATTCTTGCTTTTCTTTCTTCATCAAACTAGAGAGGAATATAAACAGGTTTTAAGTAATTCTCAGTATTGTGGTGTATGCTAAGGAATTAAAACTAACTTTAAAGGCTATCATTCAATGGCATTACTCTTATAGTATCCAGTAACTTACATTCCCAAGATGATCTGGAACTTGATCCTCTCCTATAGTGGCCACATGAAGCCCAGAAGATTCTGGTATTTGAAAAAACTGTCTTGATATCTGAGGGAAACAAACCACACTTCTGTGAAAAAGGAAGGCTGTGTTATGCAGCTGAGGAAGGAACAGTTTGCCTGTTCAAAAGGTAGAGACCTTCCAAGCTGCTTAAGCAATTTGGGCTCCTTGGTTTCATCTATTTTGATAGGACCAAATGCTCTCATATGGGGACGTGTTAAAGCCTGGACTAACAATCTGAGCTAAATGTCTTGAGTGAATGCCGAGTTTAATTCACAGACGAACAGCTGTGGTTTAGAATGCACTTCCTTTTTTTTTTCTTTTTGAATAATTGTCAAGGGCAGCTGTTCTTTTCTCTTCTTTAGCTATTTTTGAGCTCTGCTTACTCCTCCCACCCCCAAATTACGAACTGCCTGTTAAAGATTCATAGTTAATCCAATCTTGAATATTTTGAAGCTCCTGCTGACTAGTAATGATGAAGCAGGAATGACTCCTGTCTTTTAGGTAAACACTCTGACAGGGGCATCTTTCAGCTGTATCACCCCCATAAGGCCTATGGCTATTTCTGAACTCCTGCTTTCAGGACCAGGTGATGCTGTACCTATTGCTCCCATGCAGTTTATTCTTCCTGTGCTTATGGCTATCAGCTGAATCTTTTACTGACCAATTCATTCAAATACACCCCTTCACTCTATCTCAGTGTGACCCTCATCCTGTCTGTTTCCTAAACAGAATATCTGTAAGGAAAAAAGAAATTGTCTATAATGAACCAGCCTTCCATATGTGCATGTGCTTTTCGTGCCCTGAAATGCTTTTCTCTCCACCCCTCAAAGTGGGGAAATCTGTGTAGACCCTTTTCCTCCACAGATGTCCTGCAGGCAATTTAACCAATTTCACTTCTCACTGGAATTTTTATTTAGTACATTTCCCTGTGCTTTCTTTAAAGCCACCTGCCTAGCTTTCCCTCTCTTTTGGAGACTTCCCTGCCGGGAGTCTGAATGCTGCTGATCATACAGGCAAGATTCAGTTCAGAAAAACACAGCAAGTATAATTTACCTTTTAGCTTCCAGTCCACGTGTTGTGTCAAGGTTTTGCTTTTGCTTTCAGTGAATGCACAAGCTTGCCACAGAGATTGGTTTTGCTGTTTTTAAAACATAGGAAATTTTCTTTTCACCTTTTATATTCTAAACTTTTAGCACAGAACCCTAATAGAGAAATCCAATAGGCATGCTTAATGTGACAAAGAGTTATTTTACAATTAGACTACAATATGTCAAGACACTGTATTAGATAAAGGAGAAAAATAGCCACACTTCATCTATTGACCTTTGTTCTGAGACAGTAAACCAGAAGTAAAAACCATCAGGCTTAAGAACTGTCCTGAAGGGCCTGCTTCAAGCACTTCTCCAATGAATACTGCTTTTTAGCTTGTGGCTTACATGGACTTACAAGCATAAGGCATCTTCCTTTTTGAGTAAAGAGACTAGAACTTTCTCAGAGAAACCTGGAGAAAGTTGGATTGATCACATCTTAGTCCTTAGATATTCATTAAAGGTATGATAATACACACCTGTATTTTAATATACTTGGTTTGAGACTACACTGGGTGTTCAAATACTGAAATAAATCTTAACTCCAGTACATGTACAAATGCTTCACATTGTGAACGCACATAATATTGATACAATCAACACTTTGGCCTCTTCTGAGCATTTGAAGGGTAAGATGCAGGAGACTGACAGGGACTTTACAGTTTTGCAGTGTCAGTTTATCTGACCATAATATTCATCTGATAGTTTACAAGCTAAAATATCATTTCTGCAGAATAGTCAGAATACAGTTAATTAGCAAAGTGCTGACCAGGCACAAATCCAGATCCCTGTAAAATATTGAGATGACAGTAAGCTGATCCTGCAAGTTTGCTTTGTTTTTAATTGTCTACTTATGGCAGGCTTGCCCAATATTGATGCATACACATGATGCAGACAACCAGTAGGCATTCTAATACCTCCTTCCTGATGTAAAGTCTGATGTAAACTTAACTTCACAGAAAAACAGCTGCAAATCCAGTTTGAGCCAATGTTGTGTTTGTTTTTTGTTTGTTTTTTTTTTAAGATAACCTTGGCAAAAGGTCTTAGATAGCTGAATTGATTCCGCTAATCTCAGGAAGGCAGAAGACCATTGCAATTTTGCTTTGTCCTTTCAAAAAAACAACAGATTTTGCTGACTGGCCTCTGCTCCTACCTTGCAGTAATTGATGGCAAATACAAAGCTAATTCCTTATTACACAGTATTTTCTGGGGGCTAATGGGCAAACGGTCGAATACAAAATCGTAAGCCAATAAGGTGGTACCTAGGAGAATAAAGATCTGTAATTCATATCCTCCATGGCTGCATTTTTGGTTTATGTCTCTTCTGTGTTCTCTTTGATGTAGATTCATAAACCAAATTCTTACCCCTCTTACCATAGTGGAGAACAGTTGAAAATATGAATGCAGAGCTCATTTATTGTTTCTTAGTCTTGATTCTCTCCCATTTGTTTTTCCTTTTTATTGGCAGCTTCATTTTCAAATTAGGATAATAGCATCATATTCTTTCTCTAATTGTGTATATTTAAGACTCTTTGTCTTGGGGGCTTTGTGTTAGCATAAAGAAATCTGGTGGAAATTGAGTGTTCTGTTATATCATCATGGGCAAGCTTGGTAATCTGAAACTAATGTGCTTTTATTACAATGGCTCCTCACCCCTCCTTATATCCTATCTTCTTTCGAAAAACAATTATAACAATAACAAAAACAGAAAAACACAGCAAGAAGATAGCAAGCAAGGCTCTGAAGACTTAGCATCTTGAGTGACTCTTGAGTTTTATGTCCATGCATTTAGAAGGGTATGTCTGCTATTGCAGAGAAGTTAGGTGAGCTCCTTAGAGAACCTGAATGGTGCTACCTGCCACTTGTTTCAGAATGTTATTCCTAAGGCACTAAGTTTCCTTTGGAAGTTTTATGTACAGAAAGGGTACCAGTTCAATTTTGTGTTTCATGTCAAGTTTGCACAGTTCTGTATTTCTAGAGTGGATAATCATAGTTCACATTCTGGAGTGCAATGAGAGCTGGTTAACACATGGTTAACACATGGTTAACAAGTATTCTGCTACAGAGCTGTCTGCATTACATGGAACAGAAAGGAAGAAGACATAGAGTACAGTTTTGCTATTTTATTTAGCTGAATTGTATCTGGATTGGTTGATTTTGCATGGATATGAAAATTAGCAAGGAAGAGAAGGCAAAATCCATACATGTTACCTTAAGAGATGAAGAAAAAGGTATAAGGGTTTGGTTTCCTTTGCTTTGGCTTTACTGCCAGATAGAAAGCGGGTCTTATATTTCTTGTGTTTTCTCCTGGTGTTCTGTAGGCTTTTCTGTTACAGGGATGTTAACATGGTATTTAAAGGAGAAAAAATAAGATAAATCTTGCAGAATGTCAATGTAAACTGCTCTTTCCTGCCTCTTAGGATGGTAAACAACCGAAGGCATGAGAACTTTGTCCTCATGCTGGACAAGAGCTGTGCAGGGAACATCTGGGCACTGCACTTCAACTTTCTAGACTGTAGAAAGACATGATATTTTAAAAATTGGAAATAACCCCTTTTATGTGACATCTGAAGCTAGGGATGTAGAGTGGAGATAGTTACATGTATAATAACTGAACCTAAACATTTAGACTGCTGCACTCCCATCTGTGTATTGTTTTATTTGTGGTGGTTTATACAGCTGTGTGAAGGAGATTGGTTTATTTGTGAATAGCAATGCTAGCAAATTAATAACATAACAGGCATGCTTCCTTTAGAAAGGAAGAGCTTTAACACAGAGAAAGTTGACTTTATTAGAATCTATTAGATACTTTTGCAGCCAGTCCCAAGGGTGGAATTTCAGACAAGCCAGAACTGTGAAGCACCTGACAAGTCATTAGGAAGGTAAGCCCCATTTCATCAGAAAAATTGTACAGCTGATAGTGAGATCACATGTGAACGGCAGCTTCACTGTTCTCAGTGATTTATGTTAAGTAAAATCTTTTTTTATTTTTGGTTGTGCAATAAATATTTCCAAGTACTGGTATGACTCGATAGGTGGCTAAAGGTTGGGTGAATAGCCATTTTGAAAGGAGTGTATGTTGCTAGAATGATTCTGGAGAGGCTCCCAACTGACTGCCCTACAGGTTGCTCTCATCAGCTGCCAGACCTCAGGCTA